TTATACACGGAAAAAAACATACTTAATAATATATTAATTTCTGCCAATAGATCCCCATAAATGCTACACACTGTACCTTTAACAAAAAGGTCAAACCTTAACCTGTTGGAGAGCTAGCCGAGCATTTGCTAATTGGCAACAATCAGAGAGGCCAAGGCTGATAGTTTATTGGAGGGGAGCAAATTGCCACAGTGCCTACATGTCAACAAAACCAGATAAGGGTGTTTTGTGAGGAGAAAAACCTTTGGGTGGAGGGAGCATGAACAGAAAAGGAGTCGAGCACAAGACAGCTCTTAGGTATAAAATAATGAACAGTTTATCCTTGGTGCACGCATTGTGAACTAACGTTTTTTTTGTTTCCCATGCTCTGAGCATTGAGTGTGACAATACTGTAAGAGATTCTTGTCTCGTGGCTCTTTGTCAAAGTGGAATTGCAAAATTGCCACCACACAGGCTTTGATACATTCCAGGAAGAGAAGTGGTTGAAGCAAGTCAGCGTGTCCTGGTTTCTCCTCTCTAAAACATTAGGTGAAGATTTTGAAACCTGAAAATACATCCTGCTTGTGGTGGAAATGAATCTTATTAATTTCCCTGTGAGAAATAACCGTGATGTTAAAGCTCTCAAATGTCTTTGAGTATTTTATTGAATAGAGCTCTTTCCCCACGGAGGTCTAAGCACGAGAAAAGGTTTAACAGAGTATATATGCACCCTATCCCCCTTTGCAGGCGTCCTCCTCCTCCGTCTACCGAGGCATCCGGGCCAAGGTCCCAGCCTTAGTATGTGCTGATGTCTCCATGGAAGAGGGTTAAGTGGTGAGATCAGGATGACGCTACAGCAAGCCGGACATGAAATACCTTTGATTAGATAACATTTATTATTTGGGTTTGGTGAGTTCAGATGGCGCCGTCTGCATATGTTCAGGTTTAATCTATACAAGTTACATCTAAAGATAAATTGCCACGACACTGCTCACAAAGCTCTGTTCAATAAACCCATTTATTTAATTAAGAATTGCTCACACATTTTACAACCCAGTATCTGTGTCAGTTTCTGTTTTGTGTTCACTTCTTGTATTTTGGACTACAGCTTGACTGTGTCACGGTGCAGGGAATACTCAAACAGGGATTGGACCCAAAGGCAGAGGGTTGAGGAGGCAGCAGGAAGTACTCTGTGCATTAAAGTATGTTCTTTCACCCGACACCTTTTTCTTTAGGCTTCAATCTGAACTCCATGAAAGGTCTACAGACAAAAGTCTCCACACTGCAGCTTAGACTTTTGTAACTAAATTGTTAGTCATGATAGTGTCCTTAGTTCTGTTGTGTCGTTAGTCCCGTTGTGTTGTTTGTGTCCTTAGTTCCGTTGTGTCATTAGTCCTGTTGTGTCGTTAGTCCCGTTGTGTCGTTAGTCCCATTGTGTCGTTAGTCCCGTTGTGTTGTTCGTGTCCTTAGTTCCGTTGTGTCATTAGTCCTGTTGTGTCGTTAGTCCCGTTGTGTCATTAGTCCCATTGTGTCGTTAGTCATGTTAGTGTCCTTAGTTCTGTTGTGTGGTTAGTCATGTTAGTGTCCTTAGTTCCGTTGTATCGTTAGTCCCGTTGTGTCGTTAGTCATGTTAGTGTCCTTAGTTCTGTTGTGTCTTAGTCCTGTTATGTCGTTAGTCCTGTTGTGTCGTTAGTCCCGTTGTGTCGTTAGTCCCGTTGTGTTGTTTGTGTCCTTAGTCCTGTTGTGTCGTTGGTCCCGTTGTGTTGTTTGTGTCCTTAGTCCTGTTGTGTCGTTAGTCCTGTTGTGTCGTTAGTCCTGTTAGTGTCGTTAATTCTGTTGTGTCGTTAGTCCTGTTGTGTCGTTAGTCATGTTGTGTCGTTAGTCATGTTAGTGTCGTTAGTTCTGTTGTGTCGTT